GCTTCGTCCTAGTGGAATAAGGAAATAATTCTGGCTACGTCCGATATTCCATGATATTTAAAAGGAAGTATTTTGAGGGAAAAATATTGATGAGAGTATAGGAGTCAATGAATTGATGGGAATAAAGAATTTGCTAACAATTGTAGTTAAAAGACCAAATTGAGTAAAATGTAAAGTTAAGGGACTAAATAAAAACAGAGAGAACATTTTTAGTAAAAAAAAGTGAGAACTGAAGTTATATATGTATTTTATTGTGGTATATGAGCATGTTGTTTAAATTTGGTAAAAACATACTTAAAATAAATGATGAACTGAAGAAAAAACGAAATCATGAAAAATTGAGGGACTAAATTGAAAAAAAATAATTTGTTATATATATATATAAAAGATGAATTGAAAATGCATATGTATTCTATGATAGTTTAAGACCACATGGTTCAAATTTGATGAAAAATGAAATTAAAATGAAGGAGGAATTGAAGGAATGATGAAATCAAGGATTAAATCGTAAAACAATCAAAATACTAATTCAATTTTTCAGTTTTTTGAGTAACTCGAAATTTCAAAATTTCAAATCGACTCAAACTCGAAAACCGAATTGATAAATCGAGTTAACTCGAATAACTCAAAATTAAAAAAAAAAGAAATTCGATTTTTCGAGTCGAGTCAAGATTTGCTCGCGGCTCACCCCTACTTTCTATTCGAGTTATAGATATATACATGTATGTTTATTATTTGATCCATATATTTTATAAAAATTAAAATTTTAGATACTAAAACGGAGTAAATTTTATAGTTTGGGTACTAAACACGTTAAGTTTTTAACAGTGAGATACTAAAATGAAACAAAAATTAAACGTTAGGTATGATTTAAAAAAAATAAATTTAGATACTAAAATAAACTAAAATTGATAGTTTAGGTACTAAATACGTAATTTACCCTTAAGTATGTTGTGCCCATCATTAACATTCATTTATAAATTACTTTGATGTTCGGGTTGAAAGTGTAATAAAAACTGTGTAAGAAATATTCTTAAATTGACATTGAAACATAATCACACAATAATAACACTGGGAATCATTACATTGAAACATAATCACACAATAATAACACTGGGAATCATTACATTGAAATATAATCACACAAATCCATTAATCACACACTAATAACACTCATAGATAAAGCTCACTCAAAGTTTTCCGATGCGAAATCCTTTGAATTCCTCTAAACCTTCCATTTTGAGCCAAACACATCTACAATCATCAACACCATTGAAGTTAATGTCAATGGATGCAAATAAGACAACACCATCTCAGCAATCAACCATAACAATGGCTCTATGATTACCTGAACAACTTACGCTGCAGACATTTTAGAGTCTACGCCACCAACATTCGAAGTGAGCAATATAGTTGCACGTAGACTCCGCACACTTGACAATTTCTCTTCGGCAACGCTGACCGCAAAACAAGCAGTTAGGGTAGTCCTCAGCCTTCCTATGAAACTGAACACCATGATGATGTCCGCGATGAAAAGGCAATGTTATCCCATCCTTGAGAAATGGAAATTCTCCAAGAATACAATCGGGATGAGCAGAAGTATCACAGATCGAACAACAATAATACCAGAGGCTCCGGTCTCTTTTTCCTTCACATATATCACAACGAAGATGCTTTGAATAATCATTATCATCGTGATAGGTGAGGTTTAGCTGATGTTCATCAATTTTGTGAACAACTGATTGTGGTAACGATAAGCATTTGAAATCCAAAGTAAAACTGCACTTTCCACATCTGAATGCACCTTCTTCACCTGGGTCAGCGCCACAACCATTGCATCGCTCCCTGCATTTGAAATCATAAAACAGCAAGTGCTCGTGTCCTTGAAATTCAATCACGTCAGGTACTTCAGCACACCTTAAGCAAACCCAGAGTCCTCTGATAACGTAGAAGAAACCGCTACAAGGTCGTTTGCACAAGTCACACGTCATCAAGCTTGTGGAGTCGAGAGTGGCAGGAGATCGACGAAACCAATGACGCTTTACTCTTGGCAGCTCGGCACAGTTTTTGTGGAGATAGAAATGGCATTCTGATTCAGAACAATAATAAAACAGAGTTGAGACAGGTAGCATGCACCCATCACATCTTCTATCAGTTTCCTCCTCCATCTTGTCTGCTAACACCAAGCAATGACCTTCGTGGCTGAAATGTTCAATCTTTGTGGCTTCCCCATCTTCACTCACCTCAACAACGCGAGTGATGGAAGGCTGCGTAGACTTAGATGAACTTCCATAGAGCTCCTCGCATCGGCTTTCTCGCTCAACCACCTCGTAAAATCTGTTATCCTCCAAGGCACAATTCACGTGAACGATGTAACTGCAACCGGACTTCACACAAGAGTAACTCCCACGCTCAAACTTCACTTCTTTGAAACAAATCTTGCAATCTTGCTTTGTAAGCTCTCGTGTTTGAAGAAAATATTTGTGAAAAAGACAATGATCATGTCGTGAAAATTTGATAATGCGTGGGAGTGAAATGCAATCTTTATGGACTGTGATGCTGCATGTAGAACATATGTAAGACATATAGTGTCCCTCGGTACTACATGCATCACAAATGAATGAACTTCTTCTCCAAAATAATGTGAATGAGTGTTGATGGTGGCTTTTATCTTCAACAATGGATCTCGGCCAAGCACATATAATATTGATATTAAAATTACAAAGAGAACAATAATAAAAATATCCAGGATGTTGCTTTTGGCATAGCTTGCAAAAGGAATCAGTCACATTAGAGTCAAGAAAAAGAGAGTGTATTAGATGGGAAGGGTGATGAATTTTAGCAGGTAACTCATCAAGGCATTTTTTATGGAAAACAAACGGTAGGCATCGAAAACAAAAGTAAAAAGCATCTATTAATGGTTGATGACACCAAAAGCAGTTGAATCTTTTGAATTCATCCGTGGGACTTGGAATGAAGGTCAATGGATGTGGGTGGAAGTCATGTTTGGACTCTTGGTTGACCTTACTACATAAAGAAGACAAATCAGCGCATTTGATGTCAAGGGAAAAGTAACAACCAGCACATTCATAAAAGAACATGTTGTGTTTCTCCTTGCATAATGCACAACCATATACAATATTACCAGAATATGACCTTTCTCGAAGAAAAAAAACAGAGTGCTGGGGATGGAGAGGGTGATTGGAAATTGTATGGGGTGCGAGGGCACAGTTGTTATGAAGGTGATAATTATAGGGTGCACAACTAAAGCATGGATCTGAAATCACATCCCTACAGGCTGAGCAGTAAGCTTTCTCACCTTCATTGCTTTGATCTTCCACAAACACCAAGGGATGCTCATGAAAAGGATGATTAATCTCTCTCTTCTTCTCCATCTTCATTTGTGTTCTGTGAGCAATGAATGAGATGGCAGTGAATGATGACTAGATGTTCTAACAATAAATATGAATTTCTTTGATTAAAGCATTGTGCTTTGCTTATTTGCAAAGATAACCCTTTTCCTTTTGCTAGAACTCATAACACTTTTAAAAAATTCAATGGCTTCTCCATAATTTTATACATAAATTATAATTATGAATATCTTGAAGAATAGTTAACAAAAAATTTAGTAATAAATATAATCACAATTATATGATTTTAGAAAATAAATTACAATAATATATAAGTGAAAAATGACAAGATTAAGGGGAAGCTATCTTACCAAAATTTTTGGAAAATAAGGTATATATGCAAAAATAAAAATTAAAAAAATTAAAGCTTGATATGCTAAATTATTTAAAAATACTTTCTTTATTGAAGTATTGTTCTTTCCTAAAATGTAAGAGTAAGGTAATTAATCACTTTTATTCTCACTTTTACTTTTGCTTTTGCTTAGATTTTTGAAGAAGCAGACTCCCTTTTATTATTTTTTTAAAATTTATAAAATATTTTTTTATATATGTATAATTATTATAAATATTTTAAAGATCAACCGATGAAAAAATAAGTAGGTCTGTAAACAAACACGAACGAGGATGTATTCATGTTCATTCCTTTAACTTTAATCGAATGAACACAAAGTATTAAATGGACAAAATTTATTGTTCGTGTTCAATTGTTGAAGAATGTAACTTGTTCGTGTTCGTTCGTTAAAATGATAAGCAAACACAAACAAACAAATAGGCAAAAGAATGTGGGATTTTATCCTCAAATCTCATGTAGTATAGGCACAAACCAACTATAACTTAAAGGGCGTTTGGTTCTTTATGATCATTACCAACAAAAATAATTTTTTCAAGAAGGCATAATATCAAAATTAGCCCCTGACTTTTATCAAAATGGTCATTTTGTAGTATATTTGGCCCTCAACGTTTTATTTTAGGACAAAAAGACTCCTACCATCTGATAGAATAATCACTTTGTTACTTATTATTTTTTTATCCGAGGCATTTTCGCCCTCAACGTTTAATTTTAGGTTAAAAAACTCATATTTTGGAGCGTTAATCGCGTGTTAACTGATGATTTTCATTTATTTTTGTCCCAAAGTGAAATGTTGAGGGCCAAAATATTCCAAAAAAAAACATATATCACAAAGATAATTAAGAAAAATATACATTCAAATAATCTTTATATTCTTCTAACCAAACATTATAATTTTATATTCTCATACTAATTTTACGTTTCAGTAATATTATTTCCAAAGATAATCTTACATTTCGTGGACCAAATACCCTCATAATAGTTTAAAAACTTAGTTTGACCAAAAAATAGTTTAGGTACTTAAAGCAAAAAAATGACATAATTTAAGTAGTTTTTTGGTTTAAGCCTTGTTTAATCAATTTTTGAAAAATTAAAATTATGAAAATTTAATTTGTCAAACTCAAAAAACTGAGATTTTATTTAGTTTAGTTCTTTTAGTATTACCATCGGTATTTAATATATCGCTAATCCAAATTAGATACTATAGAGGTAAAGAAGACTTTCTCAACTCAATTAGCTACTTCACAAACTAAATAACTCAATTAAAGCTGTCTACACAGTTAGCTGCATCTGCTGCCCTTAAAAATAAACTATCAGCATGATCTTGTTGAAATGGCCAGAAAGCAGCCTTCAAATTACTCAAAACCTGCAATCATGGAAGTATTTGAGAAAAACCCGGGGGGGGGAACATAGAAAATGCAATGTATTTCTTGTAAAGAACATAAACCGGAGGAGGTTAAGCCAAACTACTTACATTTCCTGTACTCGGGGTAAGTGTCAGATACAGGTTTAAGTCTGAGATAGTTATACTCAGTTTTTTCCCCAAGTTTTTAAATATATTTGGGGAAACATATCATCATATCCATATCCAAATGTGTTGGATACAAGTATTGGACACGGATATTTTATGGAACATGAAAACTCGAAGCAACATGGCAAAACTTACAACCGTTATAGCATCACATGAATGTAGTTGGAATCTAAAATAGCATCATTAGCTTCTCATGAGACAGGAGAAAAAGAACAGCAAAAGAGAACGGTTATAATTAATCAAACAATTAGCAATCATTTTAGGTGATTAGTTTCTTGTTTTCAACTCATGTTCCACTTGTCCCAGCATGAGAGTAAATTAAAAGAAGCGAAAAGAACGAAATACAGAGAAATGGTCATAACTTATTGTAAGCATCAAGTGTCCGTTTTTCTTTAAGTTCACTTAGATAAGATTTAATGTATAAAAATGTAAGAAATCAAAGGGTCAAGAGTATAAACATCACCTCTTCCGATAACATTTGTACTGTCAATATGTGGGGCTGATCAGATTCTTTGCTCTTTTACTTATCATAGGCTCTCGGAAGACCATCATGATCACGAGGAAAGGAAATCTCTATATCAAATTCCAAAAGGCCCCACATTTGAAACATTTTCAGGATCTCACTGTGTATGAGCGAAAGCATTAAAGCAGAACCTGAACGATGCATCAAAACCTGCTCAAACTGTAAAGATTAACTAACTGAAAAAATTCAACATAAAAGGGTATGTCATTCAGAAGTAAATACAAAATGATAAGAGAGAAAGGCTGTCTTTCATACAGAGTGAAGATAGAGGGCTCGTGGCTCTGCTTGGTTCTTGGTCATAGATCTCCGAAAGCCCTACGAAGAAGTTATTGGATTAACCAGTTAGAAAAACAGATGGTCACAATAACAGTTAAGAAATAAACAACTTTATATGCTCAATAGACTTGAAAATGGCATTTACCATTTGGTAAGACATTAAGTTATGAGCAAATAAAAAAATCTTACAAACACCTTTCTGACATACAAATATTTCTCTATGCTCTCCAAAAATATTCTCCCATTACGACCTGCATGACAAATTATAGTGAAAGCAGTAGCCCATGGAAAGATCGTCCAATCTTTCAAGAAAAGCATCCACCGGCAAAGGAACGGAAGAATGCGAAACGAGAGAATCATCCTCCGCTGCTATGTAAAGAGCAGTTTTCCAGAGATCAACGCCTCTATTTATACTAATACTTGTTTCCCTCTCGATATTGGATAATTCTTTAATTTGTGAAACGAAACCCTTCGTGGCCTCCTGCTCAAAGATCATTCAGAAGAAAACAATTTTAGATATAAACTTTAAACAACTAACTATATCAAACTTGATATATCATTCAAACATCATTTAGCTTAACCTATCATGTTGTTCGTTCTCATATATGTGTGACTAAGTGGGGCATAAAGACCTAAATCAAAACCTCTATCCTCCACAAGAATTAAAACTATAACATTCAAATCGAGAGTTTCCATTCCTAATCAAATTGAGAGTCAGCCATAACTTCATCAACTCTTGGCAGATGATAAAAAAACCAAAACAATGACATAGAGGATGAATAAAGTTCATGTAACATTGATTAGAAGCAATCAACTGAGTTTTAAAAAGAAATTTCCATGGAAAACTACTCAAAATCCATTAGATTAAACTAATTCTAACATTTATCCAACTACATTTCGAAATGCATACAATAGTTTCCTCTTTACAGTAGAAAAGGAGGAGGAGGAGGAGTACTCTAGCGTGAGAGGTATCGATTCCAGAAGATTCAAGGGCATCTTGCAAGGCGAAGTCGAAATCGGTGGAAGCAGCAGCAGCGCCCGGAAAGGATCGACCACGGCGGACGAGACGGCGGTAAGACTGCGGAGATAACGACGTGTTTGAATGAATCTTGGAGGATTTAGGAGGAAAAGGATTGAGAATCGTTAGTGAAGAAGATGAACTCATCGTTGCTTCGTTAATGGCGACGAGAACCAGGTTTGTCTAAAGTGAGAAATAATCAAATTTATTTATTTATTTTTGTACTTAATTAATTATAGAATCTGCAAAATATGTAACATATTTTTTATATAGGTTAAACTACACATTAGTCGTTGAAGTATAGGGACCCTTTCATTTTAGGCACTGGATTATTAAAACTTTTAAGAGCTAATTGCATCATGTATCCCCAAACTATGACCCTCATTTGAAATTAGTCCTTAAACTTTTAAAATTCCAATTAAGTCCTCAAACTATGACTCTCATTTTAAATTAGTCCTTAAAATTTTGAACATTCCAATTTCATCCTCAAACTATGAATCTCATTCTAAATTGGTCCCTAGACTTTTAGATATTACAATTTCATCCCCAAATTCATCCAAATATATAATCCATTTAAACCATAGTTTAACCTAATTTCCCCCCCAATCATATAATAATATAACTTAATTTAATGATTTTATTAACAAGAGATGTGATTAGTATATACATATAATTTAGGATAAAATTGAAATATTCAAAAAGTTTGGGGACTAATTTAGAATGAATATCACAATTTAGGGATGAAAATGAAATGTTCAAAAGTTTTAGGACTAATTTAAAATGATAGTCATATTTTAAGGATAAAATTGAAATGTTTAAAAGTTTAGAGACCAATTTGAAATAAGGGTCATAGATTGAGGAGTATAATGCAATTAATTAAAATTTTAATTTGATCATTTTTTTTAATTTCGTATTTTGTAAATGTATTAATCATTAATAGTCGTTATATATATATATATATATATATATATATATATATATATATATATATATATATATATATATATATATATATATATATATTATTGATTTGAAAATCAAAAGTATTTTTTGTTTTTTTATTTAACGTAACATTTTTCATCTTATCTTTTTTATCAAAGAGTTTCATTAAACTATAGGGGTCATTTTAGGCATTCAGCCTTTATTTGTATAAATTTTTTTGGGTAAATTACTCGTTGAGTACCTGAACTATTAATTTGAGTATATTTTAATACCTAAACTTTCAATTTTTTCAAAATTATACATAAACTTAGTTTTTTATTTTATTTTAATACCAGAACGTTAAAAGTTTTTGTTAAAAGTTCTTGTTTTACTCTAGTACTCATATTCAAAATTTAACGTAAGTTTTAAAAAATTAAAAGTTTAAGTATTAAAACGGACCAAAATTCATAGTTTAGGTATTACACTCATTAAGTTTTCACCAGTAGGGTACTAAAATGAAATAAAAACTAAATGTTAAATATTATTTTAATAAAAATGAAAGTTTATGCCTTAAGACATGTCAAAACTGATAATTTAGGTGTTAAACGTACAACTTACCCAAAACTTTTTATCAGAAAAGCAAACATGACTTCTATTCCAAAAGTCCACAACATAAACCGTCTGGGAAATAGTCCGACAGTTTTAAGATCAAAAGCTTTCATGGATAGGCTTGGACACCACCAACATATGTTGCATTAACCGATGCAGATACTTCGGTAGCAAAGTCGTCCCACGAATCGGTTGACAGTACGACGAAATCAGCGAATTTTCCAGTCGATAGAGATCCCATTTCGTTACAGCTGAAATCGTGTGCCTGTTATGATGAAACCAGGAAAAGCATCAGCTAAAAGCATTGGAAATTTGGAATGAAGACCGGGGGACTTCGTTTTCTCAAAAGCACCCATGTCCGATACCCGCGTCGGTGTTTGGTACATTTAGGACATGGACATGGAGGTATGATCCTCAAATATAGGAAAAAAATCAAGCATACTTGTGACAATCATATATCCATATATATCCAACACCAATTCCAGGTATAGAAATTTAAAGCCAGTGCAGATAGAAGCAAATCATGATAAAGTAAACGTTCTTCGATGAAAAGCCGATGCAAAATCCGAAGAGAAGCATAGGAATGCATGGTGGAGGAAGAACTCCCGAAATTTTGACCGTTACCCTAAATCTCCGATCTCTTTTTCCATTTTTGGAGACAACAGATTCATACATATCAAGGATCAAGTCATTTGCTCTATCACCTATAGCATGGATAGCAACCTGAAATAAATTAAACACGAAGTAAGTTTCTATAACAGATAAAAGAGGTTCGCTTAAGAAAGTAAGAGTGTTATTAACCGTTGGCAATCTGAAGCCCCGACATGTCTGAAGCCATTGTCATGTTCAAAAGACTTTCGGATTCTACAACTTGTAAACCAAAATTGTGAGGGTCATCGAAATATAGCTACAATATAAGAAACAAGATAAAATCGTTACGTATTTCCATGCCTGTAACACTACCAAAGACATTTCGTGCTAGACAAATGCATGAATTTCGGACCATACATCTGCAATTTACGGAAGGTCGCACGCACAAGTTCTCACCTCATGGAAGAGAGCACTATTCGAACCGAGAGAGCCATCAGCAAAAGCTTAACCCACCAAAGTAAATCCAATTACTCAAAGCACGGCCTGCCCTATGAATTACACTCTGATACGAAAGAAATCTTATAAATAAACCGAAAAGGAGAAGGAAGAAAATCTGAGCATAAAGTAAACAGAATAAGGCAAAAATAAGGCAAAGGTGGCAAGAAAAAGTATTATACGTACACGTAACGTAGAAGTCATTCAATGCAATTAGAAATCAAAGTAAAATATATGTGTTACATGTTGAAGAGAGAAACAGACAAGAGGTCATACGTATAACCTCGACCAGGTCTCCATTGGAAAAAATAAGCACACTCTGATTTTCATCTTCCCTGAAGAATCAGCCCATTGATACACATCTGTACAAACGAAGATTCCCACATATCAGAAGGGTTTTTTAATCTCACATATCCATGTCTGGATAAGTGCTAGGTATGGGTGTAAAATATGAGTACTTCAAGCGGAACGAAGAGTCAGAGCAACATAGGATATCTATAATTAATTGGTTCATTTATCTGATATTTTCATTGACCCAGAAAATTATTTTAAGTGAAACCTGAAAAGTCCTGCCACGAATGCTCAACTGGTGCTCCAGGAAAATATCTCCCAAAATCAACAACTGCAGTGACACCCCTAATCAAGGCAAAACTGCTAGCTCTAAGCATGGCTTCCCTCCTTTCATCACCAGAGACCTCCGGAATCCAGGAAAGAATAAGCTCCGTTGCATCGTCAATCAGCAGACCAGTAGGTTCTGCATAGTCATGAACAAAATTTAATATAAAGTTTGTAACCTGTTAGCTTAGTTACACATGTTACTTAGTGTGATTGTCTGCTCTACGTATGCTCATTTTTTTTCTTTTCTCCAAGTCTTTTAGCCTATTTGGATAGCAATGAACAAATAGGGAAACAACCTAGCCCTCCGCACCTATAAACTAAAGCATAAACATAAAATTATTCATAAATTTGGTTAAGTGCTTACTTTTGGCATTAATGCAGATTAAATGGAACAAAAAACAAATATTTGCGGTTAACCAGAAACAAATGAAACATAAAAAAAAACATAAATTGAAGAGAAAGAAGATACTTCGTGCTGCTTCTTTTGTTAAAAGTTTCAAAGTTTGGCAACCAACTTTGGAAAATGTTTTTTTCAAAGTTTGGTAAATGTTTCTTTGAAAAATGTTTTTCAAAGTTTGGTAAAATTTTGGTAGATGTTTGTTGAAAATAGGAATGGGTAAATTCACTTTAGTCATTGCACTTTAGGGTATTTTCAAAGATTAGTCCCTAAGTTTCTACTATAAATACCCTTACCCATTTAGCTTCAAAATCATCCCAAAACATTTCTTTCTTCCTATACTAGAGAGCTTTCTTGTGTGTAGTGAGTGTTTTGTAAACACCTGTAAATTTTCTCTTAGTAAAGATCTGCAGCAGCCCGGAGACGTAAGCACAATTGGCTGAACTCCGTTATCAATTTTCGGGTATTATTTTTCCACTTTTATTTCGCATTCTCACTAATCTGGTTATAGGGAAATTACTTGTACTCGGTTTATTTTCCTAACAACTGGTATCAGAGCTTTTGGTTGTGAATTTTGTCAATTTTTCTGCGAGGTTACTATTCATTACTATTCACGTGAATAGTGAATTTCGTGAATAGTGAAATTTCGGTCGGCGATACGAGTTTGTCGACGGTGGTGTTCTAATACACGGTGGTTCGCAAGAATTGTCAGAAACGATCCAAAAGAAGCCAGATTCGAGTGGAAGCGATGGCTGCAGACGAAGGGAAGGTGAAAATTGAAAAGTTCGATGGTGCGGACTTTGGCTTTTGGAAGATGCAGATTGAAGATTTTCTGTACCAGAAAAATCTTTATCAACCTCTCTCAGGAAAGCAACCAGAGGGCATGAAGAATGAAGACTGGGCTCTTCTCGACCGACAAGCCCTCGGAGTCATCCGACTGACGTTGTCCCGAAATGTTGCTTTCAACATAGCAAAGGAAAAGACCACGGCGGGTCTTATGGCGGCTCTCTCCAGTATGTATGAGAAGCCATCGGCCTCAAACAAAGTTCATTTGATGAGGCGATTATTCAATTTGCGGATGACGGAAGGGGCATCGGTGGCACAACACCTAAATGAACTCAACAATCACAACCCAGTTGAGTTCAGTGGAAATTGAGTTCGATGATGAAGTTCGAGCTTTAATTCTCTTTCATCTCTACCAGACAGTTGGAATGCTACTGTTACAGCAGTCAGCAGTTCGTCGGGAAACAGCAAATTAAAATTCGACGATGTTCGGGATCTGGTACTGAGTGAAGAAATTCGACGGAGAGAATCGGGTGAAGCATCAACCTCATCAGCCTGCACACGGAGTCTAGAGGAAGAACTTCAGAAAGATATTCAAATCGTGGCAGATCAAAATCCAGACGGGAAAAATCTAGAACGGGAAAGAAAGATTTTACCTGTTATAATTGTGGCAAGAAAGGTCACTTTAAAAGAGATTGCCGAGCACTGAAGAAAGATACCGGTGCACAGGAATCTGCCAACATGACAGAGGAGACAGGTGATGCCATGATTCTAAGCGTCAACAGTCCGATTGAATCATGGATCTTGGATTCAGGGGCATCTTTCCACTCCACCCCATGCCAAGAAATCATGGAGAACTATGTCAGTGGTGATTTTGGGAAGGTTCATCTTGCTGATGATGAAACCTTAAAGATCGTCGGAAAAGGAGACATCCGACTAAAGTTGCCAAACCAGACCACCTGGAAGCTGACAGGAGTGAGACATATTCCTGGCCTCAAAAGAAATCTGATTTCTGTTGGACAGCTTGATGGAGAAGGATATATCACAACCTTTTCAGGCTGTGAATGGAAGATTACCAAAGGAGCACTCGTCATTGCTCGTGGTAAGAAGACTGGTACTCTCTATGTAACCTCAAATTTAGAGAATATCATTGCAATAGCAGATGCTGATGGAAAATCAAACCTATGGCACCAAAGGCTTGGCCATATGAGCGAGAAAGGGATGAAGACACTTTGTCAAAGGGAAGCTGCCGGATCTAAAGAATGTAGATGTCGGACTATGCGAGGATTGCATCTTTGGCAAACAAAAGAAAGTCAGTTTTGCAAAGATTGGCAAGACACCCAAGACAAAAAGGTTAGAATTGGTTCATACTGATGTATGGGGACCATCCCCAGTTCCATCTCTTGCAGGCTCACTATATTATGTCACCTTCATCGATGATTCAACAAGGAAGGTGTGGGTTTATTTTCTGAAGAAGAAATCAGAAGTCTTCGATATCTTCAGAAAATGGAAGGCCATGGTGGAAAATGAGACTGGTTTGAAAGTCAAGCGGTTGGGTCTGACAATGGAGGAGAGTACAGAGACAGTAGATTCAGAGATTTCTGCGCAAACAATGGGATCAAGATGGAGACAACAGTTCCCAAGACACCGCAACATAATGGTGTAGCAGAGCGCATGAACAGAACTCTGAATGAACGTGCCAGAAGTATGAGGATACATGCCGGCTTGCCCAAATTTCTATGGGCTGAAGCAATCAACACTGCAGCTTACTTGATCAACCGTGGGCCCTCAGTTCCTTTGGATGGCAGAATACCAGAGGAAGTTTGGAGCAAGAAAGAAATAAACCTTTCACACTTAAGAGTGTTTTGGTTGTATTTCTTATGTACACATAGACTCTGCTGAAAGAAGTAAGCTTGATGCTAAGTCCAACAAATGTGCTTTTGTTGTTATGGCGGTGATGAGTTCGGTTACCGTTTTGGGACTATGAAAATCGGAAGATCATCAGAAGCAGAGACGTCATTTTCAATGAAAATGTGATGTACAAGATAGGTCAACCGCAGAATCAAGTAATACCGAAGCTGAAACAAAGGAATTTGCTGAGTTCGAGGAGATTTCTGGAAATGATGTTCAGATCAATCCTGAAGCAGTTCAAGAAGAACCAGGCACACCAGAACTGAGACGCTCCTCCAGAATTCCTAAACCAACCCAACGGTATTCTCCTTCTTTACACTACTTGTTGCTGACTGACAAGGTGAACCAGAGTGCTATGATGAAGCAATGCAAGTGGAGGATTCAGTCAAGTGGGAGTTTTCCATGAAAGATGAGATGGACTCGCTTATGTCAAATCAGACATGGGAATTAGCTGAATTACCACCAGGCAAGAAAGCGCTCCACAACAAGTGGATTTACAGGATCAAAGAAGAGCACGATGGGAGCAAACGCTACAAAGCAAGATTGGTTGTCAAAGGCTTTCAGCAAAAAGAAGGTATTGACTACAATGAAATTTTCTCTCCAGTCGTAAAATTGTCTACAATCAGACTGGTGTTGAAAATTGTAGCTGCAGAGAATTTACATCTTGAGCAGTTAGATGTAAAGACAGCTTTCCTTCATGGTGATTTGGAGGAAGAAATCTATATGAGGCAGCCAGAAGGCTTCATAGAGGCAGACAAAAAAACCTGGTATGCAGGTTGAAAAAGAGCTTGTATGGTTTAAAACAAGCTCCTAGACAGTGGTACAAGAAGTTCGATAGTTTCATGAGTAGCAGTGGTTTTATCAGATGCCAAGCAGATCATTGTTGCTACATCAAGAGGTTCGACAACAGCTTCATTATTTTATTATTGTACGTTGATGACATGCTCGTTGCAGGCTCAGACATGCAAGAGATTATACACTTGAAGCAAAAATTGTCGAAGCAGTTTGCTATGAAGGATCTGGGCGCTGCAAAGCAGATTCTTGGGATGAGGATCAAGAGAGACACAAAGTCGGGGACTTTGATGTTATCACAGGCTGAGTACATCAACAAAGTACTCTCCAGGTTCAACATGCAAGATGCTAAACCAGTAAGTACACCTTTAGGTGTTCATTTCAGACTCTCCAAGACCAATCACCAAAGACGGAGGAAGAACGTGCACATGGTGAAGGTGCCGTATGCCTCAGCAATTGGAAGTCTAATGTATGCCATGGTTTGTACCAGACCAGATATATTGCTCATGCAGTGGGAGCTGTTAGCAGGTACATGAATAATCCGGGCAAGGTACACTGGGAAGCAGTCAAATGGATCCTCAGATATCTTCGGGGTACCACAAACAAAGCACTTTGTTTCAAAGGTGGAGATATGATACTGACAGGCTATGTAGATGCTGACTTAGCCGGAAATGTCGACATCAGAAGGAGCACTACAGGGTATGTCTATACTCTAGGAGGAACTGCAGTGAGTTGGGTTTCTCAACTACAGAAGATAGTTGCTCTCTCCACAACTGAAGCAGAATATGTCGCTGTTACGGAAGCCAGCAAGGAGATGGTTTGGCTCCAAAGTTTCTTGGAAGAGTTAGGCAAGAAACAAGAAAACAATATCTTGTATTGCGACAGTCAAAGTGCTATCCATCTAGCAAAGAATCCGTCTTTTCATTCCAGGACAAAGCACATACAATTGAGATATCATTTTATCCGGTCTCTTCTGGAAGATGGGATTTTGAAACTTGAAAAGATTAGTGGAGCTCAAAATCCGGCAGACATGTTGACAAGACGGTGACTACGGATAAACTGAAGTGTGTTCAACTTCAGTTGGCATGCTAGAATAACAAGACCAGACATGCTGCTGCATTGATCGAGGTGTGAAGACATATTAAAATAAGTCTTCAAGTGGGAGATTGTTAAAAGTTTCAAAGTTTGGCAACCAACTTGGAAAATGTTTTTTTCAAAGTTGGTAAATGTTTCTTTGAAAAATGTTTTTCAAAGTTTGGTAAAATTTTGGTAGATGTTTGTTGAAAATAGGAATGGGTAAATTCACTTTAGTCATTGCACTTTAGGGTATTTTCAAAGATTAGTCCCTAAGTTTCTACTATAAATACCCTTACCCATTTAGCTTCAAAATCATCCCAAAACATTTCTTTCTTCCTATACTAGAGAGCTTTCTTGTGAGTAGTGAGTGTTTTGTAAACACCTGTAAATTTTCTCTCTTAGTAAAAGATCTGCAGCAGCCCGGAGACGTAAGCACAATTGGCTGAACTCCGTTATCAATTTTCGGGTATTATTTTTCCACTTTTATTTCGCATTCTCACTAATCTGGTTATAGGGAAATTACTTGTACTCGGTTTATTTTCATAACATCTTTCACTCTTCTCACGACTTACACCTTCGAGCTGTACACCTGCCATCTGTCCTACACAAGAAAATCTCAATTTTTCTCAAGTATATATCAACTGCAACAAGAAACAAAAGCAGATACTCTCACTAGGGCGTTAAAAGCAAAACAACTACCTCTCAAAAGTAAAAAATATAGGCATGTTTTGGGAAAACATCTAGATGATTGATATGTTTGACAGCGAAAGGGATATCGTATGAGATCCCTTTTCTTTTATCTATGGTTAATGCCTGAAAAAGATAGGCATTCATAAAGACACTTAGAGGGGCATGTAATGTAAGAATACTGAACTTTTAGTCGGCCATAGTTTTAACACCAGCATGCTAATAAGTAATAACGACACCTATAATAAAACTAAAGGGTTCTCAACTAAGTGACTGATTATCATCCCATGTTGCCATACCCTACCATGTATGAAGATCGAGCAAAGTTTCTGTCCAGGATATCTGTTCTATCTAGCAGCAACTGTCTACAAAAAAGTGATGCACGACTACGAGCCTGCATGCTGGCTATAGGGATAAGGAATTCACCCACAATCATTTGACACATAAAAAAACTCGCCAAGAAACACTATGACGATGAGCTTTCTAAACAAAAAATTCTTAGAGCACAATAAGAGAACATAGAGATGTAAAAGATTTGAAATGACATAAAAAGGCTCTAGAATACCCACAAAAAATTAGTAGTTGCATTATAATTACTCATAGCTGATTCCATAATTCTTCATTGCATGTTCAGGCATGTCTAGGAGTGCTTTGACTAGTTTTCCTGTCTGATTTCTATTTATTTATTTTTCGACAGCCCTCACAAATGCCGTGCCGGAGAAGTGCCTGTTGAGCACATGTCCAACACTTGGACACCCCCCATACCAATTAGTGTCAGTGAAGGTGAAGCCATTTGAAAAAGAAATGGCACAAAAGAAAAGAACATCAGTAGGTGAAATTTCAAAACCTGAAGTCCTGCAGAGATCAAGTGCACGTGAGAATCAACAAATCCGGGCACCACGATCTTTCCTTCAAGATTCAGCTATTTAGTGCCATATCCTGACAAATCCTGCAATCAAAGCTTAATACGTGAAATAAAATAAAACAAAATAAAACTCCATTAATAGAATTCAAGTAACCATAACGGCAAAGAATAAAACAATGAATTCTCATTTTGTTAAAGAAGAAAGCATAACCGCAGTAGCCAAAGAAAAAGCCACATCCAAAACACAAATACATAAATGGGGTTTAAATGGGAAAAAGGAAAAAGAATGATAAACAACCTGAAGAGAGGAATAGTTTCCAACACGAAGGATTCTACCGTCACGAATGGCCATGGAATCGGCAAAAGGAAAAGAAGGGTCGCTGGTGAAAATGACCCCATTTTTAACTATCAAATCAGCACCTAGTTTAGTCGATGGAATCAGAGAAGCTCTCCATTGCAGCCAATCTGCGGGAAAAAAAGAAAAAAAATAAGGTTATGCATCAGGATTTTAAGGAGTAACCTGTTGATGAATGGTAAAAAAGAAGTGGGAAATGAGAAGAATCAAAAAAACGAAGGGAAAAAGGTTGGGTTTTTAGTTACAATCGGAGCTTGGCAGAGGAAAGAAGACGATGGAAAGGAGAATGGAAATCGAAGCTGAAATGACAATGGGAAGATTCATGCTTCTTCTTCTTTGTTTTTCACCGGTTTTTGCTCTGTTTGGTGATACACTTTAAATATGGACGTACAGATAGATAACACGTTTACCGTTTGTTGCTTGCATGGGAGGTGGAAGAAAATGGCAATATTACCCTTTTAGTTGACTTTTCCCAACCCCAGTTTTATGAGGCAGGCTATCAATTTTTAGGGTAAACTACATGTTTAGTACCTACATTATCATTTTTGTTCCGTTTTAGTACCTAAACTTTCAATATTTTTTAAAATCATACCTAATATTTACTTTTCATTTCATTTTAGTACCCTTCGTTAACTTTTTGTTTCATTTTAATACCCCGCTGTTACCTTTTTTTGTTTCATTTTAGTATCTAAATTTTTAACGGCGGGGTTCTAAAATAAATGTTAGGTGTGATTTTGAAAAAATTGAAAGTTTAGGTACTAAAATAGAACAAAAGTGATAATTTAAGTACTGTATAAAATATATTTTTTATTAATAATTATTAATTCAAAAATAAATCAAATTCATGAAATAATGTTGTTTTTTTTATTTGTTTCTTGTTTTACTTTAATTTTCACAAAATAAAAAGGAATAATTATAAGAATAATCCCTTAATAACGCCACTAATGTTATGATTCATTTTACAAGCCATACCATCCATTAAGCATAGTTTAGTAAGAAACTTTGTGCTAATTAAGCAAGGTCTCGGTTTCGAATCTCGTAAACAGAGAAGACAAATTATTCGATCCAATTCTGAAATAATTGAGACGTGACATGACTTAAGATCATGTCTAGATATGTCGAACATAGGTATAGGACACGAAGACTTCGAGAAATCGAATAGTCTAATGGTAATAAAAATTAGCTGACCCTATTCCCATATGTAATGGGATAAGGGGAGGTAGGATAGTAGGCTGCCCCCAACGCTAGGTTGAGAGCAGTTTCCGTGGAAGACCTCCGGCAATCAGAGTTATGAATTGCCTACCGTGGGTTAAAAGATGGTAGCTCATACAGGGATCTAATGGTAATGTTTGGGTTAAAAGAGGGTAGCTTATACAGGCATCTATGTGTTGGAAACAAGCATTGGACGACGATATTGCATGGGACATGAAGCAAAATGGCAAAACTTATGACAGTTATGGCATCACATGAATGTAGTTGGGATCTAAAATAGCATCATTAGCTTCTCATGAGACATAGGAGAAAAAGAATAGCAAAAGAGATGTTATGAGCAAACAAAATGATATGACAGAAAGGCTGTCTTTCATACCGAATGAAGATAAAGGGCTCGTGGCTCTGCTGGGTTCTTGGTCATAGATCTCCGAAAGCCCTACGAATAAGTTATCGGATTAACCAGTTAGAAAAACAGATGATCACATTAACAGTTAAGAAATAAGCAACTTCTTTATGAGCTCAATGGACTTGAAAACGGCATTAACTATGTGGTAAGACATTAAGTTATCAGCAAACAAAAAATCTCTCACAAATACCTTTCTGACATAAAAATGTTGCTTTGCTCTGCCACAAACACCAAGGGATACTCATGAAAAGGATGTTGAATCTCTCTCTTCTTCTCCTTCTCCTTCTCCATTTGTGTTTTGTGTAATGAATGAAGCATGAGAAGGCAGTGAATGATGACTAGTTGTTCTAACAATAACTAAGAATTTCTTTCAAAAAAGCAATTAAAGAAAAGAAAGAAAGAATAAAGCATTTTAACATTAATACAAGTAAGGTACAAACAATAGTGACTTGAACTGAAAGATAAACTTTGGTTAAAGCATCTTAAAAATTCACTCCTCTCTTTTGGTTAAAGCATTGTGCTTTGCTTATTTGCAAGGTTAACCCTTTTCCTTTTGCTAGAACTTTGGACACTTCAAACAATCCAATCGTTTTTTAAAGAATTAGATTTAAGGGTTTGAAAAACCCTTAGTAAAAAAATAAAAAAATATCTATTTAATTTATTTACTATCATTTTTTTTGAAGGTTTTAGAGCACAAGGTTCTTAATCTTGAGGTCGTGGAATCGAGTCCCACGGAGGGCATTTCATAATTCGGAGGTCTCCTACAGAAGCTGCTCTCAACCTGGTGTTGAGGACAGTGTACTATCTTACATCCCCTTACCCCATACATATGGGAAAAATGGACAGCAATTTTTGAAGGATAAAAATTGAAAATTATATATAAAAACAATTGATATATAAAAAATTGTTTATTAAATTAAGTTTTTTTACAATATATTTACTACCATTTTTTGAAGGCTTAATACTAAAATAAGTTCCCAAACTATACCGCTTTTCACGAATAGGTGATTAGTTTATTTTTCGACTCATCTAAGTGCCTAACATTACAAACGTTACCACTTTAGGTAACGGCCATTAAAAAAGTCCGTTAAGTGACAAATGTCACAATCTAATAATTTTAAAATTTAATTTTAAAAAAATAAAAATATTTTATTTCTGAAAAGCCTCAATTTTTTCTCCTAAAATACCAAAAAAAACCCAAACTCTTAAAATTTGTTATTTTAGTCTCATTTACTCCAACCATCAAGGGGATTGCACGCGGGTTGTTCTTTTTAAATTTTTTAACAATATTTTTATTTTTTAAGAAAAATAAAATTTTAAAATTGTGACATGTGTCGTTTTATAACGGCCGTTATAGTCGAGGGGCCTAAAATAGTAGCATTTATAAAATTAAACACCTGGATGTATCGAAAAATAGTCTAGGCACTTATTCTTGAAAAGCGGTATAGTTTGAACACTTATTTTCGTATTAAGTTTTTTGAAATATAATTAAAGATTAAGAAGTTAACAAATTAAATTTTAAAATAAAAATATTTAAAAAAATAAATTACGAGATTGTAACGTATAAGTGATTGAATATTTTTTGAGTTAATTGCATCACATATACTCAAAGCATAACCCTTATTTTAAACTCATCCCTAAACTTTTAAATGTTCTAAATTTATCACTAAACTATGACTATCGTTCTAAATTAGTCCTCAAACTTAATTTAGAAGGAGAATAATAGATGAAATTAGAACGTTCAAAAGTGTAAGGACTAATTTAGAATGAGAGTCATAGTTTAGGGATGAAATTGGAATATTTTAAAGTTTAAGGATCAATTTAAAATGAAAGTTATAGTTTTGGAGACACATAATACAGTTAACTCTTTTTTGATGGGATGTGAGTGATTAGTTATAAGATTTGATATGTGGTTAATAAGTCTCACCAAATTTCATAACAAGTAAGGACTATAAGAAAAGGAAAATTGAAAGGTTGGTATGCTAAATTACTTGAAGAATATTTTCTTTGTTAAAGTCATGTGCTTTACTTAATTGTAAGGGTAAGGTAATCTCTTTAGCTTTTGCTTTTGCTTTTGCTTTTGCTATGACCGAAGATCTTTAAATAACCATTCTCTTTTTTTTCCCTTCAAAATATATAAAACATATTTTAATAAATAAATAATTATTATAAATATTTGAGGAGCGTCTGATGAGGAAAAAAAAGAGTTTAAAAACTCTATAATAAAAAAATAAAAAGAATATCTTTCGAGTCTATTGATTTTGCAGGTTATATATATATCACATATGAAAAAATATGAAGGAATATATATATATATATATATCATATATCATATATGGTTATTTAAAGCCGTTTAAATTTAAATCAATTAGTATCATAACAATATAAATATTTACAATTAAATTTAAATAAAAAATCGAATAACTTGACTCGACTCGAATTTTATAAACTAAATTTGACTCGGAAAAAATATTCAAATAAAGTTTGAATCATAAAATAAGATTTGTCAACTCGACTAACTTAAATATATATTGACTCGACTCGATTCCACTCAATCGAATACTCACCTTTAGTAATATTTTGAATAAGGGAATATTTTCGACAACATCCGATATTCCATGATCTGTATTATGTATTATCATGTGTCGTAATCGTGTAGTTTTTAGCACATTGAATGAAAGAATTTTTTGGCACGACAAAGATAAGTTTATAAATATAAGCAATATCGACACAAAGGTCAAAACATTAACACGTTGAATAAAATATTATATATGTTTTTCTCGTACTAGTCCCCTCACTTTTAAAATCCAATTTCGTCCCCTAAATTTTAAAAGTTCAAATTCGCCCGTTAATATAAAATTCCGCATCTGTAGTAAATAAGATTTTGTCACCATTACCCTCATGAACCCCATTTGGATCAAGAACTTCCACAGACTTTCATTCCATACAATGCTTTGGAAAGCCTGTTCACATAACGCGAACATTTCAAGTTAATGAGGACTTGTTTATTCGTTATCGTATTAATTTTCGACTCGCACTAGGCACAAACCCATTAGAGAGAAGACTAGTATCAGAAATGCTTACATAAAAGCAACCCGATCGAAAATACAATCGCAACTATAATTTAAATCGCTGATTAAAACTACACGATTATTTCCTTATCCGTTGCCATACTAATTGGCAATTACTCCATCCCCACTGGGCAGAAGCCAAAGATCCCCAAGTGACATTGTGGGCAGCATTGATAGTATTGGGTAGAGGAAACAAAACTTGGCGCTGGAGAGGTGGCACTGGCCTGCACACATCATTCATATCGTTGTGACAATCTTGAAGCACAGAAGGTGACATTACTCTTTTAAAGCATAAACGAATCTCCCTCAGGTATAGTTGGGTTGAGCCTTCAATTGGCATACTGCATGAGATTTGAGGATAGAATCCCACACTGTTTTTGACCATTTGTACTTTACAAATGTCTTTGATTATAGGGTACTACTTTATT